AGGTTTATTCAGTGCCCAGGGTACGGGTGTGGAATTGTGCCCCCTCCGTAATGCAGGACACAGAATGGGTGTACCATTCTGCCCCAGTTCTCTGCCCCCTTGCTCCAGCTTCCCATAGCTAGCATGGAGTGTGCACTGCACATGCATGACCGATTGCTTGACTTCTAGCAGCTACAAGGAAGTTGCACATGCACAATGTGAAGCATCGAGCCATGGCCCACTAGTTGCCAACCAATTACCACCGATGCACCCAGGGCAGCTGTCCCCCTTGCCCACCCGTTGTCCCAGCCCGGCTTAGTAGCACACCTTGAAAATTCTGTGTTCCCCTTACCTGACTCAGCTTTATTTTGCTAATATATTTCCACACAAACTCAGGAACAGAGTGCTCCACTGCTTTTCCAACTGTCCACATATTGCATTTGGAGACATCACTTTCCTCGACTCTAATTCAGCAGTATAGTGTCCCTAAAAATAGCAACAACTCCTAGCCTTAATATGGTGTCTATGAAAGAACCGTTGTCCCCCACCACCACCACCATGTTCTACACAGCATAGGATCATTCTTGAAAGAACAACTCTCTCCATGTTTACTAAACTATTCCAGACCTGCTTAATGATGCACAGAGGAGAACAAGTTGGAGAGCTTATGAGTAAAGTAATGCAGTGATGAGTAAAAGATAGCAACTAACATGAAATAGATATCACTTTAGATCTGATACCAGTGGAATTAAATATGGCTGCTGTGTGTCACTGCACTGTGCACATCTCTTTTGAATTTCATATTCTTTAATCCAATCACTGCTGTTTTGTAAATCATCCTCAACATAATCAAACAGTGCATGTGAAAGGAAGCTAAAAAGTGCTGTAATGGTTTTGTCCTTGTTGCTAGAATGTGGAAACCATTGGGCGCTCCAGCACTGCAAGAAATTGTGGCAACAAAACAGGATGTGGGATTGCTAACTGGGAGTTTTTCAGCCAGGTTTCTGTGGGGAACCAAATGGTCTGCAGGTATACCAATAATATCATTTAACATTTTACAAAGATGCACAGTTTTTTTAATATTTACTGGGTCCCCCTTAAATGCACGTTATTTTCTGGAAAAGGTTAACTTAACTTTTAGGGCTGCTTCACACTAGATGCAGTCAAGTGCTATTTTTCTGCATCAGAAATGCATTAACAGTGTTTTCAGTGTATTCCAATGGCCAGTTCCAGTGTTTTCAGGTGCAGAAAAAAAGTAGAACATGCTGCTTTTTTCTGCACACAATTGTACTGGAATACAGCAAAATGCATCAAAACACACAGGAACAGAGTGTGGTGTGAACTGTAAGCAAAAACGCATCCAGAATGCATCCAGAGCAGGGCGGACTGACAACTCATGGGGCCCCCGGGCAATATGGGATCATGAGGCCCCTGTGTCCTTGCCCAAACTCAAAAAAAAGCCTATTAAAAAGGTACCAGGGGCATCTCATGGGGCCCCCTACTGACCCCGGGCTCTCGGGCAGTGCCTGAGTTTCCAAATGGTCAGTCCGCCCCTATTCCAGAGTGTGCTTTTGTAGTGTGAACTGGCCCTTAAGGTTTTTATGGATAGTTGCAGTTTGAAATACATTGCCTGCTAAAAGGAAATCTATATTCACAGCAGCAGTTAGATTACTACCTTCTGCTTTTAACTTGCACTGCAAAGTGACAGTTGTCATTGTCCAGGATCAGCTGATGCTCCAGGAAGGCGTTCCACTGAACAAAACATACATCAGTGGAGAATAGCGGTAACGTCATTACGTCTGCCCAAAGCCCTGGCAGTGCGGTTTATAATGCTCTTATTGCTTTATTGTGAGAATCTTTCCATTTGGTTTTAATACATTGATCAACAGTACTTCACTGTGGAATTCCTTTATCCTTTTTTGGTACATTCCTGTGAATATGCAACTGGATATACTAATTTGAGGTCTGAATTTGAGGTCATCCTGTGGCCTAATATCAGTGTAAGGAGGATCTGAGGTATTGGTAGCTGAAGAGACCAAGTGGTGTGGAGTCATCCATCCCTGTGGGGTTTTGTCCCATCCATATGTGGTTTTAGACCTCTTATTATGTGAGGTCTAAACAGCTTCATTTTTCAAATGGTGACTGGTTCCCTTTGGATGTATCACTTTGGACTTTTCACAGTTTACACTGTGAGACTTTTATTGATGTATTTATTTTGTGTTGCAATTTATTATTTTAAATGTATAACATTTTATCTCCTTAAGATTTGTTTGGATATTTGTGTACAATAGCAGTGAGTGCTGCTGTCACATTTAATTATTTGGAATTTTTTACTGAGTTGGCTTGAGTTACCTGGCACAGGATATACATATAGTATATATATACGTATATACACAACGACTTATTCTGCTAGCATTATTAAATAGATAGGAAAGTATATCACATTTACTCATTTTAAACTTCTTTTTTTTTTTTACATTTCTTCAGTTACTTCCTGGTCTCCATGCCTAGGCAAATGAAGTCACACATCCCAGGAGCCTACAGGAGGGGAGGGGGGTTCCCAGCTCAGCCAATGCTTGACCTAAGGGCAAATGGATTCCAGGAAGTAAATGCTACACGAATCATCTGCCCTTACTCAAGATGGCCATTGCTAGGGGGTATTTTTCAAAGTTAATTCTCAGCAAAATAAACCAAGGAAACATGTATGGATGGGGGAGTTTGAATATTAACAATTATTTAAATAGCATTTTTGGTTTGTGGTGCTCAGATGCAGTGCAGTTCCTCGTCACTCCTTTTCATGCAAAAAGTAATGGCCACCTATACTTACAAAAAATTAAATACAATAATCTTCTGCAAATTAAACAAAACAATTTAAATTCTGCTCAAATCTACTACTGCTATTAGAAATGCGAATTACCACTTACTATTATGGAGTGGCACAAGATGGCAGTTGCGCAGAGAACAATATTACAAATTTAAATGGTAAACATGGGCCAACAATGAGTCAGAAGATGCTTAGAGGTCCTTGCTATCAGCAAAGGCAGGGTGTGTTTTCTTTATTTTTTTTTTCAATGGGGCACCAAGAGAGAGGGATGTATAGTGAATATAAATGGGTTTTTTTTTTTATGACCCTCACAGACCCCCTGAAACCCATTCATGGATCACTTAGGTCCATGGATCCCAGGTTAAGAACCCCTGCTATAGACAATACCAACATCTTTTTCAACATTTTCTCATGTGCTACCATCATATTGATGTCATCCCTCACAGACTAATGATTTGTTTCTCCTTCCCAGGAACTCTTATTGGCTACTGTAATACTTATATTCCCACCACTGTCCAAACATTTTAAGTGAATATACAATAACAAGCAAGCCATAAATCTTAATTCTTCCCTTTCCACAATAAAGCTTTATCTAGCAGGCCACAAAACACACTAATGGAATATTAAATGTTTTATTCCACCCCTGGTAGAAATGTATTATTTTCAGTTAATTTGATTGTGAGCAGTGAAATGTAATTTTACACAACATTCGGTAATATAGATATAGATGGGTCCAGTGGGAGATGACTGTAATAACCAGTTATTGGAAAAGAAAAGGAAACAAACATTAACATCCTTCCCATTTCTGGCAATGATGGTGTAATAATGGCACTGTTTAGGTGAAATCTTGATATATATCTCATTTGACTCATAGTATTAATGTGACTTTTACGGAAAGTCCACTGTTGAAATGGGTTATAAGGCTCAAACTATTTATCTGCTGGACATTGTAATTACATTGTGCTTCATTTCCTGTATCATTGGTCTCTAAAACCTCTCAGTGACATAGGAGCATGGAGAATGTGACATCTTTGAAGATTTAAGGAGCCTAGACTGCATGGCAGAACATGCAAGCTAAATGAACCAGGACATTTCAATGTCACTGCTCTACAATGTTCTTAAAACATCAAGATATAAATTCAATATCTAAGAAAAGATCTAAGGAAAATAATCACTCATAAATCAAAAAGCATTTACCTGTAGATGTCATTTAAATAGTTACATCTGAGGGTTCAAAGTTGTATGAGAGAATTTCTGTTCTTAAAGTAAACGCTAAATAAAAAATAAATAAATAAATAAAACATATATTTTGTACATCTTTGCAATATTCTTCCTAGGTTTTATAATTTCAAACAGACTGCAAGTACAGCACAATAACTGTTGTTGTGACAAAAATATTTTTTGTGCTCCTACCTTCCTCTTTGACACAGCACTAAATCCTAAGCATGTGGTGTCAGCCCTGCCTACTTCATATCTGATGCATTACACAGAACACAAGCCCCTCCTCATCTCTTCCCACTTCTCATCTCCATACCCCTTCCTTGTACGCAGGCAGAGAAAACAGGATTTGTTTCTTCCAAAATCAATAAATATTTTTTTGCACTTATCAAACACATATAATAAAATATTTTCAATGGTATATTTAGCAGACCAAAAGCAAGTGAGACACATTGTTTTGGTTGTTACAGTTTAAAGTCAATTTAACCCCTTACCTACAGGGCACTTATACCTCCTTCCTGCCCAGGCCAATTTTCAGCTTTCAGTGCTGTCGCACTTTGAATTACAATTGCACGGCCATGCAACATTGTACCCATATGAAATTTTTATAATTGTTTTGAGACAGATAGAACTTTCTTTTGGTGGTATTTGTTTACCTCTGGGTTTTTTTTATTTTTTGCTAAACCAAAAACTACTGAAAATTTAGAAAAAAAAAGTTTTTTCTTAGTTTCTGTTATAAACCTTTGTAAATAAGTGATTTTTCTCCTTCACTGATGTGCGCTAATGAGGCTGCAGTGATGGGCACTGATAGGCTGCACTGATGGGCACTGATAGGTGGCACTGATGGGCACTGATGAGGAGGCACTAATGGGCATTGACAGGCATCACTGATGGGCATGAAAGGCAGCATTCATATATGGCACTGATAGGCAGCACTGATAGGTGGCATTGACTAGCACTGTTAGGTGGCACTGACTGGCACTGTTAGGCAGCACTCACAGGCAGCACTGATGCGCACTGATAGGCAGTACTGACTGGCACTGATAGGCGGCACTGACTGGCACTGATAGGTGGCACTGAAAGGCAGCTCAGGTGAGCACTGATATGTGGCATTGATGTGCACTAGTAGGCACTGACAGGTGGCATTGATGGGCACTGACAGGTGGCACTGATGGACACTGACAGGTGGCACTGATAGGGCTACACTGATCATCAGGGCACACTGATCATCAGTGCCCTGATGATCAGTGTACACGTCCCCTCTGAGTAAAGCCAATTACCATGACAGCTTGTAAGGAGAGGAATGCCAATAACTGGCATTTCATTATTTACATGCGATCAGCTGTGATTGGACACAGCTGATTACATGACAGAGCCGACGTCTTTCCATTGATTGGTGATCCACTGTGTCCCAGGGACACAGTGCTCCACCAATTGCCGCACATGCGCGGTTAGAGTGGGAGGACATCATATGACATCCTCCCAGAATGAGAGAACCACTTTGCACCCATTATTTCCTTATATGGCAGGCAGGAGGTGGTTAAAGTTCAAAATAGTTTTTTAAGTTTTAGATAGCGTGGAGAGGGAATAGAATGCGTGTCATTTTTTATTGCTGTCTGTGCCCCCGTTAAGGAGATTCACCCTCTCTATTTGTCTTGTTTCCCATTATTATTGAAAGTGAAAGTTAAAAAAATCATACATTTTGGGTTGTCCCCAGAAAAGTAATAGAGGGGAAATCATCCAATGGAGACACTAGTTCTGGTGACCTGGGGGTCCCCAAGGAATTCCCTTAATTTGCAGGGATTTCCTCTCACTTCCTGTTTGGCTATGGGACAAGAAGGGAAGGTAAATCTCCCCAATGAGAAAAAAAATGCAAAAAATAAACCTTTCATGGGCTTATAACCCTCCATTACTCTATCCAAAATGAAAAAAAAACGTTTTGTCTACAGTTCTACTTTAAGGTTTACATTTAAATTTCCACAATAACCCTGATTCATGATGGGTCATCTGATATGCTGTTATTATACATCCATCGGAATGATTGGATTGGTGTCAGTCATTAGATTAAGTGAATTTGTCAAAAATTGGTAGGAAAATTTGAAGTGTATGTATAGCCAATACCTTTTTTATAAGTTCAGATAGGGTAGGAAAGCGCTCAAACCTCCACCTTCCACATACACCAATCACCCATAACATTAAGATCACTGAATAACATTGATTATGTCACTACAATGACATCTAAAATTCTGTGGGATATATTAGGCAACAAGTGAACATGTTGTCTATGAAGTTGATGAACTGAAAGTGAAAAAAAAGAAAATGGGCAGCGCAATTTGATGCATATAGGGCTGCATAGCCACAGACCGGTCAGGGTGCTAATGGCCCCTACAATGGGCACTTGAGCATCAGATTGGAAACATATAGCAATGAAAGAGGAAGCCTGGTCTGATGAATCACATATTCTTTTATATAATGTGGATGGCCAGGTGCGTGTGTGCGTTTCTTACCTGGGGAAGTGGTGGCATCAGGATGTATGGGAAAAAAGACACATAACACCTACCTAAACATTGTTGCTGATAGAAATGATATTCCCTGATAGCAGTGACCTCTTTGAGCAGGATAATGTGCCCTGCTACAGTGCAAAAATGGTTCAAGAATGGTTTGAGGAATATAAGAACGAGTTTGAGGTGTTGGATTGACCTCCAAATTCTCCAGATATCAATCAATCGAGCATCTGTGGGATATGCTGTAAAAACAAGACTGATCCATGTGGGCCCCACCTCAAAACACTCAGGACCTAAATAATCTGCTACTGACGGCTTGGTGCCAGATGCCACAGCATCTCTTCAGAGGTCTAATGGTGTTTATGCCACAAAGAATCAGGGCTGTGTTGGCAGCAAAAGGGGATGTTTGGTGGCAAAAGGGGAACCTCAATATTAGGTGGGTGATCATAATTTTATGAGTGAGTGATGTATAATGCCATTTCCACATTTCAAACCCCCCTCCCCCATTTTGACAACAAGTTGATACCTTTAATCCATGGAAATCAAAGGATTAACATTTATGAAACTTCCCTGACACCAAGAATGGGATTATGTAACTAAGGTGCTACTAAGCACATCAAGGTGCTTCCACAATTTTTATATAGCGCGTCCTGTCCCTAGACAATAAATCCATAGTGATTGGATCAAAACTTCGGTGCTCACTGATTGAATATAAATGAAGGGGTATTTTCCTGACACTCAGGACAACCAAATGAGTGGTTTGGATCAGCTATGAAACATCTCCAACATTACAGAACAAGTTTAGTTGCATGTGAATAACTATTACTGGATAACTTCTATCAGGTTATTGTTTGCTATCTCTGTTCCACTGAGGAGATTTCCTGTCAAGGAGACATAGCAGGAAATGAGAGATTTTTTTTAAGGGTAATTAAATAGTTGTCACCAGAACATTTACCCCAGCTGGCCAATCTACCCTGATCTCTTTTACTGACGAGAACTCTAACTACAATTTTGGATTTCTCCCTCACTTTCTGTTTTGGTGACAATGAACACCCACCAGGACAAATAGAACAAAGTTATCTACCCAGATGGGACACAGGAGGCCCAACTCTTCCCCACTCTATAAAATAAATTTTAAAAAAAAAGATCTGCCTTTACATACACTTTAAGGCACTAATCATAGATTTATGTTTTTCATTTTCTAAACTCTCTTGCAATCAAAAATTAAAACTATCGTATGTGGCAGAATAGACACCCTGCACTCCTCCAGGTACATTTTATTTTACAAGATATGAAGGAAGCAGCAAGTGCCCTTTTTTATCCATTACTATTGATACTTCCTGCAGAAAAAAACATAAGTATTTGCTTTTCTTGGACATATAACATTTGTTTGCTATTATGTGTGTAGTTTTTTTTTTCAGTTTCTAAATTTTGACCTTTAATGTTGCCCTACTCAAATGAATTCAACTGGCCAAACCAAATATCGGTAGATCAGATATCCCTCAACCACATCTAAAATCCAGCCATTTTGCACTCAAAACAAACAGCTGATGGTGAATATCTGGATAGACTCGCCACTGTCTCATTCTGATGTACATTTCCTTTCCAACAAAGCCTTATATTCTTATGTCATGCTGTACACTCCTTCTTCTGCGCCCACTCATTCCATATGTAATTCTGTACTTTCCCTATTCTGCACCCCCTTGTTCCATGTGAGATGCTGTAAATTCCCTTTGTTGGCCAGCGTCATTCTGAATGCCATGTTTTACATTCCCTATTCCACACCCTCTAGTTTCATGTACCATGCTGTTTATTCCATATGTTGCCAAACCTTACTAATTTGTGATGTTGAGCTTCCCCTATTCTTCATCAATCCATTCCATAAGCCATGGTGCTCCTTCCGTATGCCACAACACCTCATTTCAAATGCCATGCTGTACATTTCCTTTTCCACAACACTTCTTAACATTTGCCATGCTGTATGTTCCCTATTCCATAATGCATTTTTCTGTATATAATGCTGTACTTTTGCTTATTCTGCACCACCTCATTCTGTATGCAATGCTGTATATTCCCTATTCTGCAACCTCTAATTTGATATACCATGCTGTACATTTTCATTTTCTCATTTTGTATACCATTTTGTATACATTCCCTATTCTGCACTGCCTCATTCTGCATACCATGCTGTACAATCCCTATTCTGCACTGCCATAGTTTGTATGCTATGCTGTACATTCCCTATTCTGCACTGCCACATTCTGTATGCCATGCTGTACATTCACTATTCTGCACTGCCACATTCTGTATGCCATGCTGTACATTCCCTATTCTGCACTGCCATATTCTGTATGCTATGCTGTACATTCCCTATTCTGCACTGCCATCATTCTGTATGCTATGCTGTACATTCCCTATTCTGCACTGCCATATTCTGTATGCTATGCTGTACATTGCCTATTCTGCACTGCCATATTCTGTATGCTATGCTGTACATTCCCTGTTCTGCACTGCCACATTCTGTATGCCATGCTGTACATTCACTATTCTGCACTGCCACATTCTGTATGCCATGCTGTACATTCCCCGTTCTGCACTGCCATATTCTGTATGCCATGCTGTACATTCCCTATTCTGCACTGCCACATTCTGTATGCCATGCTGTATAATCTCTATTCTGCACTGCCTCAATGAGTATGCCATGCTGAATGTTCCTTATTCGGCACCACTTCATTCTTTATAGTCCACCTCCAGGCAAAAAAACAACCCCCTACCATCGTTCCTTCCCATTATTCTAGAGTTGATTGCTGAAATAAAAAGAAAAAACCTTATCTAAATACCATTTTTACCTATCTAAACCAGTGCTCATGTGACTTTTGGGTCCCAATCCTTCACTCCTCTTCTGTTTCCTTTTGGCAGGGTCATATTTTGTGTGTCCACATCACTGTCTGTGTCCTCTCAGGATCTAAAAGACGAGTGAACTCAATGCGAGAGGATGATGGGGAGGAATAACTTTAACATCTAGATCAGCAGTTCTTACAGCAGATAACTGTGCTGGTGAGTGACCCGGACAGTAGATTTATGTGAGTATATCTGACTTTACTAGGTAAGACAGAACTTTGCCTTACATGATGAGTATATAGGGGATGAGAGGGAGGATGGGAACATTTTTATTTTTTTCCTGCAGTTGAACTTTAAGCCTTGTTATACATTTTAGATTCTGATAGATTAAACAGAGCGTCTTCCCTTCTCACCAAAAAATGTATATATTTTCTTCAAAAAACAATCCCATCCTTACAATTGAAATTACTAGAAAATGTGCGGTGCTTTCACATAAACCTAACGTGTTATATACCAATTATTATTAATAAAATGACTATAATATATATTAGCTGCCCTTTTAAAAGTGTGAATCAGCTCATACAAAAAAACAAATTTACAAAAAAAGACCATGTTGTTGGTATACAACACGTCTGGTTTATGTAAAGCACCAGACCTTTTTTTGTATGTTTTTTTTTTTTTTTTACATTTTTAGAATCTACAGCTCTTCAGTATTTGAACAGATATCTATCATCCACTGTTGTTTTTGTGCCTCCTATATGTGACAAATTCCAGAAGTGAGGTCTAACATGGCACAATTGTAACTTGTAACATTGACTATGGGCAACTATAGGGTTTAACTTGATTGTAACATCTCTGCATGCGCGGTTTTCTTGTAATGCAAATATTAGCATGGGGTTTATGGGGTTTACATACTTTTCAACAACTTAGCCACCAAATAATCACCTTAAAATTTTGTGATCCTTAAGGAAAGTTCCTGAAATAGAAGAGCTCTTATGCTCACCTCTCCAGTGGTCCATGTCTCCAGCTCCACTACTCTCATCAGCATTCTTTAGTTCTGGAACTGTGAGATGCCAATGTTCCGTTCCTTGCCC